CTTTCTTCTACAGCTCAGAGCATCCACATGAGGCTATCGCATCATAAGACTAACCGATCCTTTAAAATACAGACTGAAATGTAACAAATTGGGAATATTCTGATTAAGATCAGATCTATATTTTTTTCATTTTAGAGCTGGCAGCCTGACAAATCTGAGGGAGAAAGAAGAAAGTCTTTTGAGGAAATCCTTTAATTGCTTGCCTTTAAAAAGATCCTTTCGTATAAAAGACTCATCACCATTATAAAATTTGTAATTAATGGCATCTCTCGAACAACCTACTGATAACCTGTGCTATATCCATAGGCCCTGCAATGCCAGAGCCCTACTGCAAAATCTTAAGATTCAGTGGAAGAACCTTAAACTGGAGTAGATTGCTGTGTGTCTATCTTCAAGGCAGAGATGTTAAAAGTCCTATCTTCAAGGAGGGAGATGTTAAAAGGCTGCATGGTTAATTTTTTTGCTCTGTCAGCTGTCCCACTAACTGGTTCTTCATCACTGGATATATTTATAGCTTTCCCCTGAATGGGTCTTGGTAGCTTCTTCCTTAAATACCACTTCTTTCAGACTTCTAAGACTCTTTGGGCAGGGACAAGGCACACATTCATGGTCACACAACAGCATGTTGACCTCCTCTTCCTAAAGCTCTGGTGGTGCATAGCCTTGAAGTCACTGAAGAAACATCACTTACGTAGTATTGTTCTCCTTTCAGGAATTGTCATCCATCACTATGAAAAACAACATCCTGTGAGTTCGTTCAAGCTTTCTGCCTCATCACCTGCTTCAGATAAGCTGTACTCTGAGCTCTCCTGGGGAGGGTTTGTCCTTGGGCAGACATGGCCTTCTGCAGCTGGGAGTGGCTCGTCCTCTTGGGCAGGCAGAACACCTTTGCCAAGGCTTGGAGGAGCAGGAAGGGAGGCCCCTCTCTGCACTGGAAGCGCTGCTGCCATTGGAGCACCGGCAAGTCTCTGGACCCAGAGGTGAGAGCGTTTTTGGAGGAGAACACGGAGGTCACCAGCAGCGGGCACCTTACACCAGAGATACGACTGCGCCTCCTCACCCCTCGCTGCAGGTTCTGGAGGGAAAAACCTGACCTGTGGCCTTACGGGGACCCATTCTGGGCAATTTACTGGCCAGGAGGCCAAGCCCTCTCCAGGTATGCAGCGTGCATCACTGAAGTCGATAAGTCCAGTCTGCTGCAGGCCAGGATGTCAGACCTGGCTCTGTTTGTAGTGATTCCTTCCAATGGGTATTTGCCTTGTATGAGTGCACATTATCCATATTCCTCTCTGCTTATACAGGAGAGACACAATCTCTGCTGGTTGGCAGTGAAGTTTGAGCACCTGCTGTATATAGAATAACTTGCAGCTCTTAGGTTGAAATCTGTTGTCTTCAGTGGCCATGCATGTGTTGACAACGGGGCTGAATTTGTGTCTGTGGAAGGGCTGTGCAGTTGCCATCAAAACCTAGTGAGGTGTTTCATTCTGTCACTTATTGTCACTCCAAACAGGAGGATTGCTATTTTGTTGTAACACATGGGGTTTTTATTTGTAGGAGACAGACAGGAGTGTGGATCAGTGTCTGGTCTGTTGAGAAAAGTAGGTTTATGCTGATGCACTTGCAGTGCTGGTTAGCCTGAATCACTTTCCTCATTTAGGATTTCAGCAGCCTTACTGTCAAGCTGTATTGTGGCTGTCTTTTAGTCACATCAGAAGCCACATTTTGATTTTGGCCACTTACTGTCAAAATGTCTTTAATGTTCCTGATTCACAGGAACTAGTTAGAGTTTTCTTTTATTCTGTAAAATCAGATCTCCCACTTTGAACAGCAGAAAAAGTTCGTAACTGTTATGGCAAAGAACAAGCTGTCAGACATTCCCACATAGATGAAAGGGAAGGATCTGAACTGGAGCTTCACTGTTTTTCTGCAAGAAAGCATAAATAGGAAGGCATTTTTGACTCGGAGAATGATGAATCTTACAGTTAAATTGTGAGTTGATTATTAGCCTGCCATGTAGATGAATTAGAGTGCTCCTAAACATTGCATAATTAAATTAGGTAAGGTAATCTCTACATTTTGTTATTGTTTGATTCATATGCCCGGATATTTGGGTAGCAATAATAGTTATCTGGCATTTCAGCACTTTATTGACTTATTGTTTATGCACTTGTATTGGGAATGTCAGAAATTACCTGCATAATCTGGAAAAGTAAAAAGAAAAAGGGAGCATGAAAACATGCTGCTTTCGTACCTGTGCTTATTTCACAGTTGTCATTTCCACATCATCAGGAGTCTCCCATTTCAAGCTATTCCTCTTGGTGTAACCTAAGATACCTCGTTAACCCAGCATGGCAGACAGCAGTCTCCAACAGCAGCGAAATGCACTGCCTGTGTGCCAGGGGATACAGTCGGTAACTTGAGACCCACTCAGCTGGAAACAAGGCACTTGCAGCATTAGGCCAGCTCATGCTCTACACCAGTTACTGCTGGAAAGTCATTGCAAATCCAAGCATAGTCCCTAGAAAAGGGAAAGGGATCACTTTTCGTGGAGGTCTCACCCCCGTCCTCCACCCTGTTGGTAAACCAGAGGTTGTCCTCAGAGGAGCGATGGCCTCGGGGAGTGTTGCCAAGCAGCTGAGTTGCTGAGCCTCTGCATAAGTGTCCTGCGTGGGTACCCTCAGAAAAGAGATCATCTGCAGATCTTCAAAGTAGCAAATAATGCTGCAACATTGTGGTAACAGCGTAACAAAGCTGGGTGCCAGACCTCATAGGAGAAGGTGATTTTCATTAAAACTGAGCCAGTTTAACTAATTGGATTCATAACCATATGCTCAAAAGCACAAAGCTGTGCATGTCCAAGCTGTCTGGCAGGATTCCTTGTGATGACATGTAGGATAAGAGGCATGAGATGTCAGGCCCTCCTCCTGTCTCCTCAGTTTCTGATCTGGGTATTTTGTATCTTCAGTCCTGGTCTCGACCTTCCTGCTACGGTCTCTTAATGCCTTGAACTGCTTAGCTTGAGGGTAGGTTGTCTTTTGTTCTCCCAGTCTGGGCTCCTAGGAATCTGTATAGACATGTGCTAGGTGCCAGTAACACTTGACACTCTTATGAGGCCTCCTTCTGCCAAAAAAAAATCTAGGCCCAGACATTTCCTTCCTTCCTTCCATCCATCCATTTGCCATTTACACCAATCTTAACATTTCCATTACAGTTCTCTGCATTGGAACCCACCTGCAGAAGCTGTGCTTACCAGTAGCCCTGCGTGAAGAGTCAGCTGTCACCCTCCATGCCAGAAGACAACACAAATGTCGAATCCTTTCCTGTTTCTACCTTAACAGAAGTTATGGCAATTGGTAGTAAATTTATGGCAATTTGCAGTAATTTATGTCACCTAGGGCTTTTCCCCCTGTCACTTAGGGCCTTGCCCCTTGCAGAAGACTGAATTTCAAGGTAATTGTTAAAGTTCTGAACCCTCAGTAACAGCTATATGACTTGTAGTGTTTATCAATAACCGCTGATTGCCTTCTGTCAGTTGTTCTCCATTTCCAGCCTAGAGGTTTTTGCTTGCTGATTCCTCTTGGCAGGTGTCAGCAACTAGATGAAGATACTCTTTCTGCTCACCACTGCTCTATTCTCATTTTCTTGTTGCTACTTAGGAACAACATTAAGCAGACTAGAAGTATTTGCATCTGTGCTCAGGAAAAGAAAGAGGAGAAATTCATCTTCCAAGCAGTTGCATAAGCAGGGTAGGCCTTGTCTTTTGAGGGATGCAATTTTCACTGCCAATACGTCTTCACGTTTCTTCAGACAGATTGCTTTAAATTTCTACAAATCCTTGCCAACAGTTTACTTTCCCATTTCTGATGCCAAGCATTTTAGTCACCTTGCAGTTTTACCATTTACTAGATAGTCTCACCTGTCAGAGAAGGAGCTGATTGAAATAAAATGTTGCTTACTTGGCTAGATTTCTTTTTGTTTGGGGGGTGGGGGAAAAGTAAAGGAGAAGAACCATGGTTCTTGATTTTTGTATCAGCAGAGACAAGTAAGGAGCTATGTACCAGCTGCACATGTAGAATAGTGTTTTTAAGATACCATGCTTCATTACACGTATGACAAGAACTCTTATGCAATGTAATGCAAAACTGAGAAACTTACAAAATCTTCTTCATTGCGTTAACAGTTTTTCTTTTCAGGTATATTTTAGATAATCCACGTGTTGTTAAAGGACGATCGGTTTTGGATCTTGGAAGTGGATGTGGAGCAACAGCAATAGCTGCTGTGATGAGTGGTGCATCGCATGTCCTTGCTAATGACATTGACCCTAGTAAGGCCTTTTTTTTTCATCTCTGTGTGAAGATAATTATTAGTTTTTAAAGCAAATTTAACATAGACTTTGCTCCATTTGGGAGAAATTCAGGTTCCAGCGTTCCAAGAATGCTAAAAAGATGAATGGATTTTGCCAGTATTAGAAGCTGGGTTGTACCAGCCTCTCTTGCACTGAGTGTATCTGCATAGCTCCTTATAATGAACAAGAGCAAAGTTTCTATCAAGTGTTGCCTGTACACATCACAGCCGGTTTGCAAGAGAACTCCAAGTGCAGGCGGCAAGTTGGCTTCTCTGTAGGACCATAGCATTGTCCTGCACTTTCATATGTTAGGGCCTAGATTTTGCCTTTTTCCCCCCAGACTTTGCTTTCCCATAATTGACTTATGAATTCAGTTTATTCATAATTTAATTACTCATTAGTTAGGGAGGAAGTATATCCATAGATTAAGGCAGTGGGATATTCTGGTTCAATTCCATGATTGGTTTCCATTAGTATCCATTCTAGCAATAGTTTTTCCCTGTGTCATGGTGCAATGAGGATAAAATTCCATCACTTTATGCCAGATTTTGACCTATAATGAAAACTGTGGAAGTCCCTAGATAGCATAAACAAAAATATTTAAGAGATGAAATTGAAAGATATGTCAAGGAAATCTGTAAGGGGGCTGAATGGTAGAATCCTAAAACGTAACTTTCATTTTACTTTGACTTTTCTTCAGTTGCAGGAATGGCAATGATCTTGAACTGTGAACTGAACCACCTGAGTCCCTTCCCCATCACCATTAAGAACATCATTAATTCAGAGGCTGGCAACTGGGACCTCATTGTTCTAGGAGATATGTTTTATGATGAACAACTTGCTGATGGTCTGCATCACTGGCTGAGGAAATGCATCAGGATACGGCAAACAGAAGTGCTGATTGGTGACCCTGGCAGGCATCAGTTTTTAAGCCACAGCATTCACAGTCAGTTGCACAAAGTTATAGAATATTCACTTCCTGAGTATACTAGACAAGAAAACAATGGGTTAACATCAAGTATTGTCTGGAGTTATCAGCCCTCAAATAGCTTAGAAAACTGTTGAAGCTGGCTTTCTAATGAATTTTGTCTCACTTAGTTGGCTTTTTTTGTAAGTATGTAAAATGAAAATGGGAATTAAACATGGAACATTATCTGTTGATGTGAAGTCAATTGTTGCACCTTCACTGTACTGATTCCAGTCATACTCACTGAGGCTTTCACTCCATTTGAGGTAAAAAGCTACATGCAAACTGTATTCGAAGGGGCCTGCACTGAAGTGCAAATCCAAAGACAAGTTACATGTAAGAGTTTGCATGCTTGATGTTTTTCATGTATATTCATGTCTTGCTCACTGACACTATTGTGAAATGCTTTGGACGTCCAGCATACTGCTGTGGGGAGGTGGTGGTGGCTAAAAGATTACTGCACTGCTTTCACAGACTTTTGCAGCTTATTTACAGAGAAAACTATTGCTGTCCTTCATAAGACTGTCCCCTAGATTATTAGCTCATACTATGGTTCAACTTAAAAGTGCCTTGCTCTTTTTCTGGATCTCTCTTCTGAATGTCAAAGTAGCTAATTTGAATCTCACCCTTCCCCTCTATAATAAAAATCTACTCTTCCTTGAAGCTGCCAGAGTGATTATTTAAGAGTTGTACACAAATCTAGTCAAAGTAAAAAATTTTAGTAAGTGAAAAGTGACTAAATACTAACAGCTACAGGGTAACTTTATCCCCTAGAGAGTAGGGTCAAATGATCTACATTCCCTAGCTTTGCAGGGGTAAGAAAGGCAATCCATCACCATGGGAAACTGGTGAGGGATGAAGAAATCTTTCCTTCTGTGATGTTTCTGAACAGAAGGTAACTAAATAAAAACAGGGAATAAAATTTGGGTATAATTATATTTCTCTTCTTGAGGAGATGCTGGGCAAGAAGCTCCAGAATAATTCTCAGCTACATCTGTCAACAAAGAACCCTCTGCAGGGTGAAAAAAAAAAAAGGAAAATTTGATCCACAGGTAAGAGGCTCTAAATGCAGCCATTTGAAGAAGAAACCAACATTTTCAGAGCAGTCTTGCAAGAACTGTCACCTTTAGCAGTTAACTATTGAACAAGGAATGATGGAGAACTGATAACTGCAGATTGGAACACAATGCACCTACAACTATCCAAATACCAGCTGATGTGGTGAAGCTTATAAACATGAAAAAGTATGTGGGACTCACTCAGAAAACCATGGTGTTCATGAAGTAGGAGGTTTAGGAGCACATTTAGATGTACATAGTCATCAAATAAAATTGAATAAGTTTTCAGAACTATCCAAACAGAAGTACTACAAACTTTAATCTTCAGAACAATAACATGAATATTCTGCAGTGCTCACCCAACAGTTTACAACAATAGCAATATCCAAATACTACAGAGTATGAAGTGATAAGTGCATACATGATGTTCTTCTCCCACTTCACCCAGTGCTTGTAAATATTTGTTGAAAACAACTGTGATTTAACCTGAATCAAAAAATATTCCAGTAAAGTTATGCTAGTAATAAACACAGAAGAGAGAAGACTCAAGCTCTGACAGTGAAGGACTTAACATGACTTACATTAAACTTTCAAACCTAAAAATACAGTGTTAATTCATTGCAGTGTTGTACAGATTTTTAAGCACAAGGTGAGGATATACTACTAAATGACACATTTAGAAGAGGCTACAGGAGAAGATGGTAAATCTACATGCACATTTAAGGACACAGTGTAAGCTGCATTTGCCTTCAACATGGCAAATCCAAGGTTACATTAGCAAGGAGAAAAAGGACACCTTTGTCAGTGAGGTTAGGAGTAGCACTGTCCCACATACAGAATTTTTTTTTAAGGGTCCTTTGGTGTTACAGATTTTGTTGGTCTTCCACCTTGAGCTGCTTTATATTATCTTAATTTATAATTTTCTTTCTGGATGTAGCACTTGAGATGAGAGTCTGACAATCATCACCACACTCTGTTATAATTACATGTCTTACAATAACAGACTGAGGGAACTGGGCTTGTTCAGCTTTGAAAAGAGAAGGCTTGAAAAGACCTATGAGCAGCCTGCCCATACCTATGAGGAGGTTATCAGGATGACAGCCAGGCTCTTCCAGCAAGAAAGGGTGTAAGCTGAAACAAAATAGGGTCAAACAGGATAGAAAGAGCATTTTTCCACCATTAATACAGTCAAGCAGTGGAACAAGTTGCCTCAAAGGGTTGTGAAGGCTCTGTCATCTCCAGTTTTTCAAGACTTGGCTAGTTAAAGCCCTGAGCTGGTCTGAGCTCTGAGCTGGCCCTGCTTTGGGCAGGAAGTTAGACTAGAAACCTCCCGAAGCCCCTTCCCATTGGAGTTAGCTTACAATTCTTACTCTTTTTGTGGCACTCTTCTTGAACCCAGGGCTGGCAGCCTGATCCTTATGCTTTACTTATTTGACACAATTATTGAGCATATCTTTGCTGCTGCGTAATCAGCTAGATGGAGCAATATGAAAAACAGGGCAAAACAAATTTATTGCCAACTTGTGCCCAAGAATTCAAAGGAATGATGGGCCTTGATGCCAGGCATTCCACAGGGCAAAATAAGAAACTACTCCTTAGCCAAAAAAGGGAATAAGATGTGGTAGATTAGGTTCTTAGGCCTCTATCTGGTCCAAGGATTTGCTGCAATTACAGCCTTCAGATGCTAGTTGCTAATGTAGCAAAACCAACTTCTCCTGTTTGCAAGAATGGTTTGTACTGGTGCATTTATACCTATAGGTATCATAGGAACACATTCATCACTGGGCTGGGCCATGGTACTACATGCAACAAGAATTAGGGATTTAGGCACTGGAGTTTGAAAATTATGCTTTTAGTTACACTTGAACAAGTTTTCCAAATGGACTTGCTCTTCCACAAACCATATAATGAACAGAAGAACAGAGATTGTTGTCAGACATCATAATATCCTTTAATGCTACTGGATGCAACTTATATTACTATCTTCCATTCAATTTGACTTGAACTTTAAACAGTTTAGTAGAAGACTGGTTTATTTCTGCAATACTTAAAATGAGTGTGGCTATGACAAGTATTAAATTATGAAGTAAACATATTCCTTATGGCTGTCTAAACTCACGGGTTTCTCAGTGTCATCAGATCCATGTAAGACCACCCTAGCTAAACCCTGCTACTCCTACATACAGAGTATCAACATAGTGTGCTACCTGCCTTGCAAAATGCTAAAATTACTAGCATTTTAAAAAGTTTAATGTCGAAATCATAGAAGTCTTACTAGAGGTTATACTGTTTCAAGAAAGCCAATGGACGTGACTTCTAACTATGATGAGACCACTGCTCCATCATGTAATAAACTCATTCTACACTTCTAATTTTTTTTTTCTTTAATATGACTGCAATTGACCAATATATAAATGGTTGTTATTGTCAGCTTCTGGAGATACAATAAACTGCATGCAGCAGAACACATACTCTGCTGAACTCTACCGTCCTGAGATTTGTGTACATAGACACAAAATTTGGTCCTATTTCACTACACCGATGCTTATGAGGACCAATATTTTGTTCCCTAAAAGAATTTTCATGCAAGAACATGGGCAAAAGCCAGAGCAAATAAGTATTTGCCCATATACAAGATTCTTTTATTGGTCATAGCTACTACTCTGAAATTTGTTAAGTCACTGCAATAGTTTCAAAGCAATTTTGTGTTTACATGTTCACAGACTGTACTTTTGGATGTGTAAAAATCCAGCAAGTATTTGACGGTAAATAAAAACAGAAACCTGCAGCATCAGTAACATCAAAAGAAAGGTACCTATGGTCTTTCCTCCAGACTCAGCAAAAATACATCATGAAAGAAGACTGTTTGTTACTACTCAAAATACTTTTTCATCACTGTTAATGCCACCTCGCTTCACCAATTCTCTCTGTTGACTTTTGTCAGATTAAAGTCCAAACTTTACAGACACTTCTGTATAAAGTGTTAATACTATGTTTGGGCTTGGTACTTTTAGTTGCAACTACCCTCTCAGACTACAAACTCAGAATAGAGTCTTACTGAAATTGAGTTTGTATATGTAGCTAAGACACTAAAAGATGCTAAGCAGCAGCCAAATCTGATACTTCACGGAGGCTGAGAGATGACAGGGTAATATTAATTATAGTTTAACTTTCTTCTTGATGACGTATGATCAGTGATGCAAAGACAGACAGGGCTTTAGGCAGAGACAATGGGGAAGCCCAGACTCACAGGCAAGGACTGGAACGGCGATGGAGACCTCTGGTGGGAACAAGGAGGGAAGCAATCTGGTGGTACAAAAGTCACCAGCTCTTTCTCCAAGGTGCTTTTTTTCTGAAAGAGCTCTCCCATCTGTAAACTTTACACTCACACGTACATGATAAATAATCAGTAAACAGTCCATGTTACTTGCTTGATTTTGTTTGATATGACTAGCTGCTCTAAAACATCTCGGGAACGATCTGCAAAAGAACCAAGGAATTTCTTATTATTCATTCAGAATATATATAGGTGGTGTTTAGAAATTAGGTAAACAGCAAAATAATTAAATTATATATCTGTATTTACTCTTATCTTGCTAGTACAGTATCACACTTCAGATATACCAGTAGTTACTCAAAACCACTCGGTTCTTTCTCCAATCACACAACTGTGAACATCACCAACCAACTGAAATCAAAAAACCCAAGATAGATCATAACCTCTGTCAAGTATGTTTGTTTTTTTTCAGGCTGACCAATCCTACTCAATCCCACTGTATCTTGAATGGATGTTGTTCCATACTTTTGGAATGGAGTAGGGGTTAAAGATACTAACGTATTTTTCTGAAGTCTTATCATCAAATTTGGGTCTTCATCAGCATGTTGGGGGCGGGGGGGAAGGGAAGAAACAAAATCCAAACTCCAAAACAACAAAAAAATCCCTCTCTGAAAGTTGCCATATTTCAAAACAAAACTCTCATCTTACTTTGAAAATCTCAGTGTACGATTATTATTTTATCTAGTAAGTTATTATTTGTTTGGGATTATTTACAAAGTATAGCGTGCTTTTCCAGAGAGCAAGATACTATCGGAAATAATTACTCTTCTTACTCCCTGCATGATTTGACCTACCTGTTATCAATGGGCATCCATGGAACAGAAAAATGTGTATCTTCGGACAACACGTAAGGACCGCTTCCACAGCAACATCGGTCAGATTCACACAGCGTTCCATGTGGATCTCCTGTTATGAAAACAGTAGTAACAGAAGCCTGTCAAGAGCACCCATAGTTTTGGAGGCAGAGCTTTCCTTTGCTGAACTATTTCCAGAGATCCCCATCCAGAAGAAATTATGACCTACCACTCCTCTGTGCATAGACCCCATAGGTGGCCCTGTACAGACCAGGAAAATACCCTCCGGAAAAAAGAGACAGCTTTTCTATGAAAAGTCAAAACTAAAAACATAAACCTGAGTTTTCCAAAAACACATATATCATTCAAGACAACTGAGAAAACTCTTCAATGAGATTAAGGTGTCTTGAGTCCCATCAGTTTTCCTATGACACAATTTGTTGTCCAGGAGAACAGAACCCAAACTGAATTCTGGGGTTTACCAAAACAGGCAGGATTCATGGGTCTCTGCTGAAGTCCCAAATATCTATCTATCTATATATCTACATAGTTCCTAAAAGAAGTCTAAGAACTTCTTCCAAGACTAGACTAAAATGTGCTCCCTTTTTAATTTCTCTGCAGTTGTGTTACTAGTACCTGTTGTATGCGCTAGAGAAAGAATAAATTCAGGATAAATTAACAGATTATTACCAACTTTTTCCTTTCCATCTCAACTGCCTTATATATCAATAAATATAACATACAAGAAGAAATGCAGAAAAGAGATTATCAAATCTAATGAAAATAGGATTTGGGAAAATATACTTTGGAGATCCTGAGGTAAAAATAAAAAAACCCCATTGTTTTATTGTGAAAAAAATGTCTTTCCAAATAATAAACTCCAAGGATCTTGAAAAAGCAGAGAAATGAAAGGGACCTTTTGTAATAAATGCAACTTTGTACAGAATGATGACACAGAAAACAAGAACTGTATTCAGAGAAGCAAGATATACAAAAGCTGATATAGGTATAGTTTTTAGTTCATTTTAATAACTGAAATGTGGAATCTGAATGCCTCTGAATGAAGTAAAAAGATTTATAAATCTGCCTGCTAGTTACATTTTGAGAACAGTAAGACTCTACTTTTTTTCACCATGTACCTGACATTAGATCACTGTCTATAAATTTCCACTTTGATGATATTGAACAGAGATATGAAGATCATGACACAGACAAGGAAAAGAGTTACACTAAAGAAGAGATTGTAGCAAACAATTCCATATTCTCTACTAAACTTCTTTTTCTTACTGCTTGTAAACCAAGAGACCTAAACTGTTCTAGCTGTTTATACTGATAGAACCAACTTTTGTTTTTAAAATTGTCATTCCACACAGAATCATTAAATTTTGCCTTATTAAAACTGCACAGAATGCCTCGCCCCGCCCCAAAACAACAACAAAAAACAAATGCAAAAGTCCTTAAATACATGGCTTTTAAGAAAGTGGAAACAAGTATTGAGCAAAGCAAAATGAACAAGCAAAATCCATACCACTATTCAGTCTGGCATAACTCAAATTTCCCATTAGTTCTTCTGAAATCAAAGCCCACCACCTCAACATTACTTTCCTGAACACTTACAGATGAAGCAGGTCTTATGTAGGCTACCTAACTTGTACTTCCTGGTCTAGTACAGCTTCCACAGGCATCCATGCACAGCACACACAAAAGAAAGCCTGTGCACTTTCAAAGAAATAGTAACTATAGCAATGTGACCAAAGCCCACATTTTGTAAGCTGGAAATTTTTATTAAAAATAAATGAACCATAGAAACGCAGTTCCAAAGAAAAAGGGCTTACACACAAGAATATAATTCTCTACAAACTGTGGACAGTAAATACAGAAGAGAAGATAACGCTGACAGAGTAATTATACCAACATTGCTGGAAAATAGTTCAAAACCCTATAGGAACTTTACAGAATCCTGCTCTCCTCAATAGCAAACCCAAAAGTTATTACAATAAACTTACAAAAACTTTTTACAATATTTGTGTTTCAAGATACATGTACTGAAGATTTCTGAGAGTGACCTAGTCTGAATGACCTAATCCAAACCACAGTGATGCACATTGCTTTACATTTGTAGGCTGGATATGAGAGGCATGTTACGAAAACTATCTGCATAGTCTCAGCGTTGTTTAGAAAATCTGGAATCAATGTTTTGCTACAGCTAAAGGTGTAACCAGCTAAAAGACAAAGATATTTTCAACTCACTTCTAGTATATATATATAAAAAAACCCTCTCATTGCTATGATCTGAAAATAACAATTTCATCTTGTACCACAAGACTTATCAAGACTAAAAAGATTGTCCAAAATAGACAAAATCAACTGGAAAAAAACCAAAACTAAATCTTGCCCTCCAAATAAACCAATAATGGTTCTATTTTTTCCACGTTATTAATACCATCAGTTGACCCAGATTTGGTATTTTGTTTAGGGTTGTTTTTTTCTTATTGAACACTATAAACTAGCAAAAGTATGACTTGTTTCCCATCTTAGTTTCTAGATGAATAGCTTGGATTCAGAACCAGCCTTTATGAAAGCAAAAACACACACACACAGATAAGAAATGTACTATATAGAAAAGTAGAAGATCATTTATGGTAAGAGGTATGGGATGCCTCTTCATCATTTTATCACTGTCTCAGTGCCTAGAGAATCTTTATGCAATGACAACTTCATTTTCATAGTTGCTTTCATAAGTTAGAGATTCAATATGCAGAGGTGCTAACTGATTTCTTAAATCCATGAAATTATCCACATTACAAATTCTGTCTCAGTGTTCAACAGAATCAAGAAATAACTTCAAAGAAATCAAGGGAAAAAGTTAAGCATTCATTCGCTTTTATTATACAGCTCTCTGAAACAACATGAGTTAAAATAAGCATTCTACATTCAACAGAAGAAAACTAATTTTGAAAAGACTGAGGTTGTCAAAAAGCTGGTCTGGTGAACTGCTACAGAGAGGCAGTAAATATTCAATTCATAACCAAAATCAGGGCAAGTGTGTACACAAACAAAGGCAAAAGTCAGTCAATAAAAAACATCCCTCAGAAGTAATCTGATAATAATAATTTAAAAATGCAGCTATTTGCTTTTGTTCATTTCTTTGTTATTAGGTTAAGTAAGTTACCTTTAAATTCTTTGAACATGTTCCACTCACTAGTGCTACAACGCCATCATCTGTTACCTAGAGAAAAAAACATGTTGTTGATTAAAGCTCAATTTTTTCAAACACAGCTATTTGAGGGGGGGGGAATTATATTAATTTATTCACTCCCTGCAGTCACTGAATACACTTAACATTACAGTATTTTCTTCCCAACTAAGCTTGTAGAGAAAATTATCCAAGTAGTTTTTTTTTAGTCTATTAAACACTGTTGCATTTTACTGCCATGTGATCCAGCCTGGCTTTCTACAGGGATGTTTCCAACTGTGTAACTGCCATTTCTGCAGCTTCCTTGTCTCATTTAACAGTGGGTACATGTTTATGGTCAGAGCATGGTCCTTCCAATTTAAAGCACTTCTGCTCTACCTAGACCAATTTCTCTCCTGTTTTCAGGACTGCTGGACATGTTCCTGAAGGAAGTGTCTTGGATTGGAGGGGGGGGAGTAATTACAGCAGTCTTATCTGCTATCTTACTTATCTTCGAGCAAACCAGTTACATAAGACAAAAATCCCTCAAACAAGCAGTCTTACAGCGGTTGTCATACACTCGCTGTAAAAGGTTTATCAAAGTGATTGACTACAGACAGCCATGAAGCAATGACTACCTGCAACAGAGAGGAGAGACACAAAAGACATTCCTTTTCTTAGAAAGGCAAGAAAAGCCGATTTATTCATTTGCTTCTGGGAATCAAATCCATTAAACTTCCTCCCCACTTCAAAAGCTGGATTGGATATCAGATCTGTCACACAGGTTTTTTCATAGAGTTTAAATTAGTTGGCAGGAATAGAAGTCATCAAATAGACACAGTAAGGCTCAGCCAAATTTGACAGCTAGAATCCAGAGGCCACAAGCTCCATTTCTGTTTAAAGATTTGATTATTCCCCTTGTACAAATTGTCTTACTGCCTTCTGGCCCTCTACTGCAAGTTTACTATACAGAACTGTAATAGAAAGGGTCAGATCAGTGTGAATGGGGAATGGATAGGAATGTCCCAGCATGGGGGCACATACCTGCCTATAAGAATGGCAGGTATTGTCAGCACATAGCTTAGCAGGTCATCAAGATGACAGCACATTTAGCTTCTCAAAACACCCAGACCAGGAGACAAAGGGCAGCAAATTAATACATTCCAGTAACTCCCATAGTGAGACAGAATGGAGAGAGTAATTGCTGTCAGTTCCTACAGGGTATAAAATGGCACATGCAAAACCAGTGCATGATCACCAACCTAAGACCAGCCCAAGTGAACTGATGAAGATTTGACAGCCTGTGTCCCTTATCTTCCATGTCATCAAAACAGACTTGGACCAGGCTGCCTGGTTGGTGTCTGAACACTGGAGAGACCACCTGAATGTTACTGTCTTGATGCTTTTGAGTATACGCTATGACTGTGAGAGCAAGAAACCAATTTTGTATTAAAACAAAGTCCCCCTGCTTCCCTGTGTGAGCTCACAGTAACTCCTGCTATACTATCACTACAGTGTTGCAGTATTGTTTCCTACCGTGATAAATAATATTGTAGTTTTGTTTAAGCCATAACAGATAGGCAGTCAGAAAGAATGTAAGTTTCTAGGTACCCAAGTATGGGGACAGAGACAGGGTAATGTGTATTTGGGTATAGGGTTAAGTCGCTTTGGCTGACACCACTTATCTTAGCCATGATTAATCTCTACCTGGCTGTCACCTTCCTGCCCTTATATGGAAGAAAGAGAGGATTAACTGTCAACTTGGGTTTGCAATATAACTGAAACAATAGAGTGCAGGCGCCGGAATAAGGAGTTCAACCAAGAGGAAGACTTTGAGCCTTCACCCCATGACCCTCAAAGAAGACCCCTAGAGAACAGTGCGTAGATGCAAGTGGGAGGGTATAGATGTAAATAACTTCGGGGAAATAATTTGAATATGTATACGACTTCTGAGAAATGGCATGAATATGAATGACTGTCCTAAATAAATACGTGGAAGTGAGACTAACCAGTATGCATGCAGGAGGACCACGGAGGTGATCTCCCGTGCAGCCAGTGCTGAAATAAAGCTTTGCTTCACAGACTTTGTCCTCTCTTAAAAACTACATAGGTGAATGTTTCTCACATTAGTCTATCGAATATGTATGTGCATTCCCTGTAATGCCACATCTGCCCGTCCTCATCAAGGGATACACTCTCATATTGGGGATAAACCACCTGCAGTTTGTACCAAGCCACAAACATATCAGCTTCTTAGTACAGACCAGCTGCCACCAAACTCTGTATACATCTCTAGGAAAGGCTTACACAGTCCAGTACCAGCAGTTAGGTACACCAGTAACGCAGCTCTGTTCTACATGAGAAGTGTCTGGACAGAGAAAACAGCTAATCCACAACACTCTTGCTTTTGCCAACACTTTTTGCATAGAACTAAACTGTCCCGCACCCTACACAGAAAACCATTGCAGTCAGCACAGCCCTTTCAGGCAAGATTCTTCCCACAATTATTTGCCATACACCGAGTCAATGAACATTAAAGAGGAAATGTACTGTTTAATTAGTGCAGGGATTTGGACTCTTGAACATCTGTTTCTACCTGTTAACACTGCTGGGATTTAGAGTAAACCAGAAGTAGAGCAGTAAGTACTGTAAAACCTACCTTCTCAGAATGGTAACATAAGTATACTGATAAGTAAACATATATAGATTTCTTATGCAGTCCTGGGCCAGTGTAGCTGAGTTCTTCATGCCAAGCTTCCACTCACACTCTCTGTGTGGGGACACAGAGCTACAGCTCCTTCTTAGTTCAATCCTTCCCTTGCCTCACCCGCCCCATTTCTTGTTATTTTGCACCACTTCTTTACCTTCTGCTTATTGTACTTCATCTCTGCAGTCACCAGATGAGCCTATTTTGAAATGGCTACATCATCTTGAGGCATTTGGCCCCTTTGTAGTCTAGTTCACATCGGCTTCCTTGTTCCTGCAAGTGAGCTGTGCCCTTCTTTGCCTGTTCATTTATTTCCAACATTCTCACTGTTTTTCACAGCGTTTTGCCAGTTCCACTTGATATTTTCACTATGCATTCTGGCATTCAAACATAAGAATATGGTTAGGCTTTGCAATCTCTACAGGTATGAACCGTCCATAGGTTCTCTGCTTCATCTTAAACTTATTTCATTTGTATCTAGTATATGTTTCCATTTATTTTTAGTCAAATGAAATTCAGAATTCTCACCATATGATTATCAAAAAGGAATAAAAAACATGGAAGTGTTTAGTTAGTCAAGAAGCTTTCATCTCACCTAAAACATATGCAGGGAAACGTAGCTATTTACTATAAAGGAAGAGAGAGGCAAGGGAACAAAAAAGTAATGAAATAAGTTTGAAGAAAGAGAGTTAAATCATAATAATAAAAATTACCAAAGAAAATATTAAAATTACTTTTGAAGCCCTACTTCTGGAAAAACTGAAAGAAGAATAATAGCATCTAAAATAAGAAACTGCTATGTGTTTTCCAGATCTGACACTTCATTACAAATGCTCTCTGCTTGACTCAGATTCAACATAAAGTAATCACTCACCATCACAGCCAACTCAATGTTACACTTACTGCAAAAAATCCTTTCCTTCACTTCATTGTCTTACTGTAATTATGAACTATGTTACGCTATTGCTGTTGCAGCTGATTTCCCCCTTCTCATGCTAAATACTGTTGTTAAATCTCTTACCTGCCCTTTCTGACATTTTAAATGTCATTCTTTCTGTATTGACTCCATAATGTAACTCTGACAAGCCATTCAGAAAGCACAGTCACTCTTCAACTAGAACTAATTCTGGAGTGTTTACTTCTACTAGGGGCTTACACTGTTTGACATCCTATATTATTAATATTCAGGTCAATTTGTGCTAACCGAAAGCAGACAATAATCTGTTCAAGATTCTACTTTCTTTAAAAGAAATATTTTGGATTACTTTATAACTTCAAGAAAATGATTGCACTAAATAAAGATAATGAAAAAAATCCCCAATATTAGGTAGAGTCTAATAAAAGTTTCCCTTTGGTCCACAATACATGCTGTAATACCAAAATGTGTATTTTTCTGGTTACCAAGATGCAAAATACATCTTTCCTCTTCCTTAAGAGGAGAAAATTGGAAGTGAACTGTGGTCTTGTCAAGAGTAGAGCTCAAAAGATCCCCTTTCAATTTTATCATAAATCTTAAAAAATAAACAGAAGTCAATTAGCCAATTGTCACCATAGTTACCTGAGTAGATGAAAAGTCCACACTATGCAGAAATTTGCAGTTTTCTCCCAGTGCCTGCAGAGATGCATCCATGATGCCAGAACAGCTGCCCAAGTTCACTATTTGTAGGAACTGGCAGTTGAGCGCAAGAGCAAGAACTCCACTGTCAGTTATATCACAGCACCTTTTAAAAGATGCTTCACGCAAGTAAGGACAGGATAAGGCCAGCGCTATGACACCTGACAAAGAAACAGAGCAATTTAAAGAATTATCCATTTTTTAACATAACCACCATGCTGAATCCAATATGCTGTCCCCTTGGTCACTGACTGTTCAACTTTCATCTCATGCCATGCCAGCAAGACTGCACAAGGAAATAATTTTGTGCCTGGTTTCTTTTAATTCAAGGATGAGAAAAGGCCAATGAACAATCCTAGAGCTGATAAAAATTTCTAAATGCTGAATTCCCTTCCATACTGCAGAGGGATACCTGAGGGATATTATATACATAAGGTATCACCTCAGGGAGTGTATGAAAAAAAGCCAATGGCTTGAAAGCAGACTCATGATAGTGCTAGGTCCCACTGATGGTGCAGTGGGTATCAGGCAAAAAGCAAAGAGGTCATGTTCGAGGTCAATTCAAGAAATCAGAACAATAGTTCAGAAGCAGAACAGGAACCAGGTACACCTACAACACCGCTCAGGCCAGAACTGAAGGTCCATGGGCAGGTGGTGCAGGTGGGCATGGCAGGTGAGACCAGTCATGGCCATTAGGGTCTGTTGGTGCCCTCAGAGCCCTGACAGTCAGTAATAACCAAAATACTTGCACAGAAGTGTCAGGAGGTAGTCAATAAAATAAAAGTACATGAACTACAGATATAATTTGTGAAAGAAATTTATTTCAAGGATAATAGAAACATGATTACAGCAGTACAGAAAATTACATCACTTCTAGATAGATAGAAATTAAAAGTTGAATGTCATTAAGATATGTTACTATGTAAGAACTTCAAAGAAACATGGATAAAATAGTACTTGCTTGGGTCAGAACCACTTTGCAAAGCCAGGCAGAAGAGACAGTAGTTATACTTGATTTTGACAGAGAAGTAAGTATTACTGGCTATTGTATTAAAGGACACCAAACATTCCATGTGCAACCTACAGAGCAAATGTTTCCTAGTAATGACAGCACTCAGATATTTCTGGATCTGGTAGCCAGCAGGTTTCTTAAAAAAAACAAAACCAAACCAAAAACCCCCACCCAAACAAATGAAGCAAAAGACCACCACCTGTTACTGGGTTAATAAAAGGTAACTGGAGGGGGTTTGGGTCTTTTTTTTCTTGTATGTAATTGACACGAGTGATAAAGAACTGTTCCAGCTTAAATTAAAGGCTCCATAATGGACTCTCAGTTTTAAAAGGGCCCAGTTTATAAGTAGGAAAGTTAGCGAAGTTGGATGAACTATGAACTTGCCAATCAAGAGCTAGACTTCCCAGTTTTAATTACAAAGTAATCAGGAATCTCTATCCAAAGAGATGAAAAGTGTACATAAAGAGCTCTAGGCTTAGCTGGTACCTTAAGAACTGTACTAGAAATCAGTGGACAGATGAAGGCATGGAGGGAAGACCATTGCAAACTATATCTTAGGGGTCAAAAGGTATAACAATGAGGTGACATTGAAAATACATAAAATAAATTTTTTAAAGTTTCATCAATTACTTAAGTAAAAAGATAACTGTATCACTATGCAGTGGTAAGAAACTGCATACAAACTGAGACTGGTCTGTGTACGGTATACATTAGGTCAATACTAAATTAATATTTTGCCTCAATTTTCAATAAGGATGAGTTAATGATGGAGCAAAGGAGTAAATGTAATCAAAAGACAAACCAAAACTTGTGGGAAATAAAATTTAGTAAGCTTAATTCTTATAAGCTAATAACTCCTGATATAACCTGAAACTGGAGGTTAAAAGTAACACCTGAAATCCTAAAGTCCTAAAGCAAGTCAAGTCTTTTAAGTCAGAGAAGATGCTGTAAGCTTATTTAATAACAAATACATTTAATTAAAAAAGAGGGAAAAAGTAATTTAAGAAATCACAAGCCTGAAGCTTCAACCCCAGTGGTACTGGTAAGGCTCTGGAACAAGTTTTGAGGGAGGAATAATTAAGATGAAGTGGAAAATACGATCAAACATAGCATAGTTTTACCAGAAACCCAGCATGAGAGTAACCTGATAGCTCTCTTTTGTAAGATAATCAGTGCTCTAGGCCTATAATTTACACCACTGACATGACTTTTAATTAGTATTGCTGTGGCATTGGGGATTTTTTTAAGCAATATTTACCTGAGGTATTTTTCGCAATTTACTCCAATCTAACAAGAAAAATAAAACAGAACTAAGATCCCAGTTATCTGTGCACAGATAACATACCTTCTGAAGTGATTCCCAATCTGTTTTCTTTGCAAGAATTTAAGTTGATTTTTTTCAGTTGCTTGCAGTTATGAAGCTGCAGCAATGCATTATCTGAAATATCACAGTCTCGGAGGTCTAGAGACTCTACAGCAGGGTGCAATACCTGTAACGAAAACCTACCATTTCAGTCAAACTCTGCTATGTCATAGAACATGCCTGTTTTTATCTAAAATACTTGTAATGTTAGACATCACGTAGAACTTTTAAAAATTATTCACTAGAGGATGGGGTTGCCAGTCCTAGGAACTAAGCGCTCCAAAGAAAAAAAATGGTATATTTGCTGCAACAGCTCACCTCCTACAGCATGAATGTTCAGTTTCTGTGATCACATCTAGAGTAGGAGCACACTAACACTACTATTTAAAGAGTGAAATTACTAGTTTGATGGTACAGTTGCAAACACTAGTGCTTCTGCCAGCACAGATATGTTTACCAAGGAAAATATCGTCAAATTTATTAGCACAACTTTGTTGGCAGAAATCTGAAATGTAAAAAAAATACCGACTGGGATCAAAACTTAAATCCACTGAACAGATAAGGGTAATATTTGAAAGATATTTTGTCCCAGAGTATTTTTCTCACCTACATACACACTCTTTTTCTTTATAAACAAGCAGTCTCATTAGCATACCACAAGGAGTACCAAATCTTCATTAAAAAGACTCTTTCACTCCCACAAGACCATAGGTTGGAGTTTTTGTGAAATCTTCCCCAAGAGGACATTTATTAAATTTAGACCCAATGCAATGGAAGGCCTCAGATTTTAGTAACAACAGCCATACATCTTACCTCAAATTTAATTTTCAAAGATTCTCACTACTTTTTAATAAATACCGTTTATAGCCCACTCTTGTGCAAACAATCTATACCTTTGCTTAGCTGTCCTTCAGACCAATAGACAAGCGTTAGATCAGGTTTTCACATTATTTTATATTACTCTCTTCAGCTTGTCATTCTCTTCCTTAACTCAAAGGATAAAAGCATAAAGTAAATTTCTATACACAAGCAAAGATAACAGCATAGCTGACAGGCTTGTTAAAGGTCCATTCCTTTCTCAGGTTCACCATTCTAACAGGTACAATAAAGATTTTTAAGGAATATTGTTTTTCTGTTTTGCAAATATGTAAGATGCTAAAATCTTCACTGACAAAGTCAAATAAGCCCTTTTGAAAAACGAAAACTTCTAGTAGATTATAATTGCAACCTTTCTGCAAAACAAATGGCAGATCTCATGACAGCTTTGACAGCTTTTTCTCCCCACATGCTAAAAGCCTCAAATACATCTCTTTACGCCACAAAACCACCAACATATCCTACAATACACTCGTGAGTAGTTTGCACAAGAAAACATTCAGCTCTTATTTCACTCGTATTTCTGAATTCATATCTAAGGAACTAAAATAGCCAAACCCAGAGATGATGTGCTTAAAGCCAAAGTGACCATCGGTATTTATGCAGGATGCTTTCCTTGACTGTTGGCTTTCTTTCACAATTCCAAATTGCCTAGGACACAACAAAAGCGAGCAAACTGCTGGTTTTGAAGCCACATGAGAAATCTTATGAGGAAAAGAACCATCAGATGCAAGGAAGTCTAAATGAGAAGCAACAATACTATCAGAATACTGCCTATTTAAAGTAGCTAGAGTATTAAGCTTCCCTAGCCCATGATTCTTCACATGCTCAGGTATTACTTAGAGGTTTGCTTTCTGCTGTTATTCAGAGATTCATATTCGCTGAATGCATATACTAAAATCCAATCTGTTTCAAAGAAGATGGAATTTTCGATAGAGTAAGGATTGTTTGGATACAGAGTACAGGAGATTAAATTATAGACTTGTATCCTGTGGACACATGCTGAATGGCTTTATAGATCTTTATGGTAAAAGTGAGCCGGAATAAGGAGTTTAGCATGCGTGTCATGGAAGGCTGCTCCAAGCAAGAAGCAGAGGAGGTAAGAGATGAAACAGAAGTGTATACATAAATGCAGGTTAACAGAATTTCAACTAGAAAAAAATTAACTTTATGCAAAGTGCTTAAACACCACCAAAGAAAGGACATGCCTAAAAGCAAATGAGATAGCATAGCCTGGAAAATTCCAAGAGAACAGATCTAGCCACAATACTGTGGAGGCTATGAAAGAAAATGGCAGGATGGAAGCAGTAGCAAAGAAAAAAAATTCCTTATCCATATGGAAGACTAATTAAGACATTGCATATGTGTCACATGTAGAATGCTTTGGTTATACATGATGTGAGCAAGGAGTAGTAAGAAGAGCTAAACGACATAAGCCATTTTTGCTATGCCAAGCAACAAGATGAAAGAACAGGAAAACTGAAGAGCAAAATGGTATGGAGAAACAGTATGAATTCAAAATCCAAGAGGTGGCTAGCATTTTTTTAAAAATGCAAGCGAGATAAACCTGGAAACATTTAGCAAAGAAAGCAAAGGTATAACATGCCCAAGAAGTGATGACAGCTAAGGACAGAATTGCAGGAAATTGCAGGAACAGAGAAAGGAAAAACACATGAGAAAAAGAACCAGAATATCCCAGTGTCAGATGGAAAACAGGCTCCAACAGAAGGCACTGATCAGCTGCTGAATGAAAACAAAGACAGATGAGATTTTACAAAGAGACAGAGGAAAACATTGTAACTTAAACTCTCTAGTTTATTTCCAGACTAAAGATACTGTAATAAGTTTTGTGCATTTATACACACACAATCATATGGTTTCAATTATATACATCTCCTAGGATGCTTAGAAAGGATTACTTACTGAAAAGATAGCCTAAACCAAATTTTGTCAACTCAAATTTTCCAAAATAAGATGAGTAAGACTTTGATTTTTACTCAAAGACTTATTTTGTACAATCAAAAAATGGTGCGTACTAAAGATAAAACTTTTTGTTCATAAGTTTTCCATAGTACTTCTGGTTCTGCCGCTAGTCTTGGCTTCACTATTCTGACTCTGAGAAACTGATACTATTTGCTTCTTACAAGTTACATCTCAAAGCAGGGATGAACAGGGAGTCACTTCCTGTTTCACCAAGGCCAACCTTTAGCTTTGTTCAATTTTCATACCTCCCTTTGAGGCTAAACAAGATAACAGTAGATAGATGTGGTCCTGAATTTACAGCTAAGGAAAAGTCATTAACTGGTTTTATTTTGAAACACTGACACTCATCACTGAGCAGAAGGGATGACAGAATTTGAACTATCAATTTCTAGCCCTAGCATCATCGTATTTCAAAGAATCAAGATTTAAATAAATTATATGGAGATCATGTGCATAATGTCAATAGAACATAACAAAAATCTAACAAGTTCCTGAAATCTTTTCATTACTAAATTATACACTAGCTTCTTGAAACATCCTACATTCAAGAACAGAGACCAATTTGCAACAGAGTCTAGTTTCCCATACTGAAAAGGTATAACATATGTCGGCTGATTACACAGAAGTCAATTATCACTGAAGGGAGAATGTTTTTAATTTACTTTTCATTACAAACAGAATCTTATTAGTACTAATACAGGACTATTAACATTATGAAGTTTAAGAAAAAAAAACTGTAAAGACATGGACAGACTAAGAAGGCCTGAATTTATCTGTTGTCTCACGTAAACAGTTTTAGTTTAGTTCATCCTTGTGTATTAACTATCACAGACAGAATATAGTTTTGAACAGGTTCTTACCTCACTGATATTTGAATCAGTTATTTGCCCTTGCCTACTCATTAATTTAATCAGTTTATCCTTTATGTTGGGTGGCAATGACTTAATATCTGCAGCATATCTGGAAAGGTTCTTTGTCAAACACTGAAGGCATCTGAAATAAAGAAAAGTTACAGTACAGTCAAAAATAGGCATTACATATTAGAACTAGAACAATCAAGCCATAAGATGTCATCTTCTGCATCCAGCTATACTGCCTTCAAACCTTATCAGTTCCAGCTGTTCCACGCTACCACCGACTCGGTTATTGCCCTTTGGCAATAACAACAAGCAGCTGACCCTTCTATGCAAGCATTCCCCCACTAACTGTAGGCAAAAATTGTAACCTCATTCACTACGATCACCAAACCAGCTCACAAAATGAGTTTGGTGGTAGTATACTGATGAGCTCTAAGAAAAGCCTTTTCACTAGCTAAGCCTCCACTTGGTAGGCAGTAAAATCTTTAGTTGGGACCACTAGTTCCAGGGCAGGGACACCTTGCATTCACCTCAGTGAAAAACATTAAAGAGATATTTTCAGATGTAGTATTTTGTTCACCATCCAGTTTGTAATATTCTCTTAATAATAATTGTGCTGTGTAACCTTGTGCTCAACCTTTTTAACACTGTGCTTAAAACTAGATCTAATCACAGAGGATTGTCACCTGAGGCAGAAATTTCCTGGACCCCACGAAGACAGGAAAATCACAGATCAACAAGTTTGTGGTCCTACAAAGTAGATTAGACAAAATAACTAGTGGACTAGGGAAAATAAAACATATAGGGGAAAGTGAAGTCACTTGGGTATGTACAAGGTATTCAAAAAGCCTCACTAGCAATGGTTCTTCAAGAACTACGCTGCCCTGGGATGAAAAGGAAGGTTCTTACACGGTTGAAATCCTATCACAAACAGAAACATAGACTGGTTTGATTCAGTATAGCCTTTTATTTAGTAGCAGTATTTTAGGGCTCCTTCTGCCCACATGCTTATTTGTCAGAATGATTTATCAACCTGAAGGGAACAGCCTGATTATCATATACACCTGGCATGAGAGATTTTTAACTAAAAATAATGCCAACATACACTGCATTTTCTATACATCACAAACATCCTGCTCTCTGGACATCTTTTGTATTCAAGGTCAAAACTGTTTCTGGGTTCTGAGCAATCTATTCCCTTTCCCAGATACTGAAACTTGACTTAAAGTTTCTATCATGAGATACTGCTGCATGAGAAACTGCAAATAAATCTCAAAGACACACAGGGCTTAAGTATTCATCTGAAAAGGAAGGACTTGGCAGAAATAAATATTAATAGGCCTACTAATATCACAGAATGCTGGGTAATGCCTTAAGACAGGCTTTGAAATCCCAGAATTTTATGTGCTTGAATGCAACAAAAAGGGATCATTCAGTGAGAATACGTTGCTAAGAGACTCCAGATGGAACAGAGCTTTTTAAGAGAAAACATGAAGAACTTTACTTAAGCAAAATAAAACAGAGAGATCAGTATTATAGAATCATATAATAGTTTGCATTGGAAGGGACCTTTAAGGGTCATCTAGTCCAACACCCTTCCAATGAGCAGGGACATCTTCAACTCGATCAGGTTGCTCAGAGCCCCGTCCGGTCTGACTTTGAATGTTTCCAGGGATGGGGCATCTACCACCTCTCTGGGTAACCTGTTCCAGTGTTTCACCACCCTCACTGTGAAAAATTTCTTTCTTATATCTAGTCTGAATCTACTTTCCTTTAGTTTAAAACCATTGCCCCTGTTGTTTAAAACCATTGTCCTGTTGCAACAGGCCTTGCTAAAAAGGCTGTTCCCATCTGTCTTCTGAGCCCTCTTTAAGTACTGGAAGGCTGCTGTAAGGTCTCCCTGGAGCCACCTCTGCTCCAGGCTGAACAACCCCAACTCTCTCAGCCTTTCCTCATAGGAGAGGTGCTCCCGCTCTCTGATCATCTTCACGGCCCTCCTTCGGGCTCACTCCAACAAGTTATTATCCAGATATATGTGGAACAGTACCCAGGTGGAACACTTGAAATAATGTTTTTCAAGGTCAAATATATAGAAGAGTATTTACTTATGCAATATTCAGTACTATAGAGGGTCACTAATCATGCAATCCTATTTTTTTAAGATTCTCGAGGCATTTTAATGTCGCATAAGATAAATAAAATGTTAATGTCCCAATCTCTGCAATTTTGTATTACAATCACAGGCTTACTGAAACACCAGAGGCAACTCTAGGAAGAGTTTACAAATAGCTTCTAAGCATTCTGAGCATACTGACCTTCAGAACAATCACCAATCGTTCATATGCTAAAAGACAACTGCTGGTCCTTAAGGAAGGAATTGCAACACTCTGAAGGGAGATTATATTATCAAAACCCGAAGTCCCTACGTAAATGACAACATAAACTAGAGTGAAGCTAACCAACATCCACAGACAACTGAAAAGATAACACTGTCATCTAGGAAATGCCAAGACTTTAAAAAAGATTGCACTACAGCAAAACTAAAATGGAGAGAGTTGAAATGAGGGAGGAAGGCTAACTCCTCACTGTCCCTTTCCTGCTTAGAAACCTAACATGAGTCCATATAAGTGACAGTTCTTCGAAAACATTACTGCCCTACAAAACATTTTGCTTCTGTAGAGTCAACATTTTTCCATTAACTCACCCTACCAGTAAACTCAGAGCAGCTACTGTAATTGCACAGTAAGTCTTCCTACTGCAGTTGGCCTCTATACTTTTATGTGATGAAAGAAACCATGAATCCTGTTTTTCATGGACAGGGAAAACTAAGTAATGCTTCACTCCCGTAACGACCTGATAAAAGACCACTCCTTCTTACAAAACCCCCAACTGCTTTTTCCTTGCTCCACATTATCATACTGTTACACCAGCTGTTTCTAGTTCAGCGTTGTCTACAAAGTGTCAGATGGCACACTCATTTGTTACAAAATGTGTCAAGAGGTGCAGAACAGAAAAGGCATATGGTCTTTAACCTTAAGCTTTATAACAGGGTTAAGGCCTTATGACAGGACAAATGTGTATATTTCCAATACATAAAACAGAAATCAGATCTTTATGACTAATTTTTCTACAAACAGTCTAACTTACATCAAGGTGCAGCTTATACTAAGTTATGTCACATGAAATTGAACAGCAGAACAGATGTTAGAAGTGGGATGCATCAGAAGAAGAAATGAAGCAGAAGAACAGATACCAAAATAGGTTTAATGGCAAAAACCAAAAGAGATACCTCTTCCTGCATTCTTTAGGATTGGATAATTTATATTCACAACAAGACCATAACAGGAAGCTCTGTTTTGAAACTGATGCTTTACTCCTGTCCTCAGCGTTCGTTAATGCAGATGCACCCAACTGCAAATGTTCTAATACCTTTGCAAGACCTTAGTTTTCCAAGACACAGACAAGCCAGGTAATGCATTAGTCTGCAATAGGCTGGCCACTTGTTAGTGATATCTGTTACACAGGAACTATCTGTCAATGACATGTGGAACAATCAAACCTAAGCAATACCTAACTACATACTCTGGTGATGACTTACGTGTGCAGCACACTTCTTTATCATGTAGTGACAACCTTAATTAAAACACCTTTAAATTTGATGTTTCATCTGTGTTGCTCTAAGAGTCTCATTTTTGATGGTGGAAACTCTCTTGGTTCTGAGCTTATGTCTGGTCCTTAATAAGTCAGCTTAAAACCCCTGCCAGGGCTCTGATGTATGTGTAACAGCAGCCTCCTACATGTATGACATCTAAAGCTGTTACTTGCCTCAGACGCCTTCTCCACCTCTCCAGCAAGTGTTGTTGCTGCCAGGCACCCGCTCTGGCAGGCCTTGCAACTCGTAAGCTGTCAGTTTTCAACCAAGACTAATTATGTAAACCAGTTACAGATTTGGTGTACCTCAATATGCTGGCCTTAAAACTGCATCAGCTAGGAGTGCTTGTGTAAGTTGGTAATTTCTCATCTTGGGAAAAATAACTTCAGGAAACAGAAGCTAATATAAGATATAACTTGAGCAAAATAAAAAGAAAAAAAGAATATTTCTAAATATTTCCAGTAAGACACTCTCGTGCACGTGACCTTTGGAGTGCTAATTTCTGTTTTGGGGCAGGAGGTAAAGGTCAACAAGTGGCAGACAGGCAGCAGATACCATCAAGGATCAGAAACATCTTAATAAATGCACTTTCTGTTAAGTTTGGAGATCTTAAAAATAATGACCTTAATAAAAGGACTACTCCACACACTAAAAGAGTTCAGTTTTTAGTTTCTGCTGTACATGATGCTAGTTAAACAATAAGCCTAAGGGTTAGCATAAGTAAGAAGCTTAAAATGCAGCCTGGCATAAATAGAGAGCCATCACTTGATTGGCATAAGACAAGAAACAATACGCTGAAATTACACACATTTCTTAAAAAGTTGTGCAAATACTAGCTTCAATTATTAGTCTTACTGGTATAATAATTATATTGTTATATTAATACAGAAATTTGCTGCAGCAGTACTAATAAACTAGTGTAAAAAAGATTAGTAACCAATCAAAAGTAGAAATTGTTTATGGTATCAAGCGCTACAGTACACGTAAAGAGAAATTACTAGGTCTAAGATCTAAGGTTAATTATGAGAACATAGGCATGTAGTGTAAAACATGTCTTAAATGCAATTTTAACAGATTAATCATGCACAACAAAAAAAAGTGTGGGTACTGGTTTAGCTTCGCAAAAAGAGAGGTTATTAACAAGACAGAACTCTTTTAATTAATTTCTATTAGCAGTCCAGCGATCATTACACACCACTCTAACCAAATGTAAAGTCCAAACTGAGGAGCCTCATGCTGGCTCTGAAATTCACAGTTGCAGTGAGCTGTTTGGCATCTGATCTGAATGAAAACTCCTGTGACTAAAACTGTGAGGTCACAGAAACAGTACTGCCAAAACAAGTGGCTGAGGGCAGGGGGCAGCAGCAGCCTAGAGTTAAGCCAAATTAGATTTAGCATATAGCCACGACTCTGGAGTCCCTATAGACAATTTTTTTTTGCAACACAACCTTGTTTGGCACCAGAATGCCAGCAAACC